AATTTTATTGCGATTATCATTTATTGATTATCATATTACACAAAATTCTAATTTTATTTTAGTTAATTATGTATTAATTAAGGTTAAATGTCGATTATTTCGCAAATTTTGGGGTGGTCCTAAACTTTTGGCCAGGGAGTGTAATTTTCAAATCGATTTGTCGTATGAAGTGTAAACGATGGAACTTCAGCAATATTTGATGATACTTGAGGGACTGTCCATTCGAATAGAGTTTTTGAAGTATTTAAAACTGCCAAACCTGGAATAGCCTTAGCAATTTCGGATATATTAACATTTTTTTCTTTTCCATAAATTATGATTCTACATCTGAAACTAATGATAATATAACAGTATATATTAATCGTATTATTTTAAAATAAATTTTTTTGTAAAATTATATTATACCTAATACAGCCGAGTGTAAAAAATGAGAATCAATTTGATCATTACCTTTAGCTTGCTTAATAAATTAAATAAATTTATAATTTTAATTTCACAAAATTCTTCATAAAATAAAATACGTATCACTACTAATCAAGAAGATAACTTGGTATCATAAGGTGAATTAGATTAATTTCAATTATGCTACCATCACTTGTATAACCTCTGATATATACAATAACGTCATTTGATAATAATATCGCAGTATAACCAATTCGCGGTAAAGGTGCATTGACAATAAGGCCATAAGACCATGTTAAATTATTAGTATTTAATATTGCCATGTCATTAAAAAATTGAGCATTTTCTGATCCTATCACTGCATCGGCATCTTCACCAAAAACATAAATATTTTCAAAATCATCAGCAACAACTTGAAATCTCTAAGTCTTTCTGGTACTTTTCCTTTCATTACAGGTATATTCCATTGTCTTGATTTAAATTAAAAACATATACCAGAGAAGTAAATGAATCTTGATTATTTTGATTTTGCATTTTTCCTTTAATCAGGTAAATAGTCAGATAATTATTATTAGTTATTGCGGTAGTTGCAAAATTACTTTTAAATCCTAATCCTGAATTTAACATTAAGTCAGTCTATAGTGGATTCTTTATGTTAAATTGTTGCGATAAATCAAGATAAAAAACTTCATTAGTACTAGAAACATCAGTAATCCTGCCAAAAAAATAAAGTTTATTTTTAACAAGAAACAGAGAAATGAGAATTACGTCCTAAAGAAGTAAATGACTCGATTCTAAGTAACAAATAGCTTAATATGAAGAAAAGCAACTTAAATTTCTTGCAGATCATATTAACTAAAGAAATTTTAAGTACGGTTATTTAAAAAAAAGTTATTTAAACAATCCTCAATTCGCGTATTTCGTCGATCATTTTGTCTTTTTGATAATTAAATTCATATACAAATCCAAGTGTATTATCGAAATGACATTTTCATTTGTGGGGACATACAGACATTGCATGATCATGCAATTAATCTGACTTGTTCTCCATTACGCTTTGGACAATAAATCTAAATCAGTTGATACAATGAATCTCAAGTACAATATTAGAGGTAATATTTCTTAGGAGTGGTATATTAATGCAGATGAAAAAAATAAATATTATCACAAACATCTGCGATAATTCATTATATATAAATCTGTATACCTTAACTCCAAAAAATAACTCATGTAAATGTAAATTATCCTTTATAATATGAATTGATTGTCAAATACTATATAAAGCGACAAAGGGTGTGAGATTTATAATAAGATCATCGATCATTGTGATGATGGTTTCAAAAAAAAAAAAAATAAAAAATAAAAATTTTTTTTAATACGTTAATTCATTGATTCTGTAATCTTATAAAATTAATATATCTGTATCTAAGAAGCGTGGACTTGCACAGAAGAAAAAATTTTTTTGTTCTTTAAAAAAAACAAATAAAGTTATGTCAAAATTTCTACTAGCTACATTTTACATCACTGATCATATCGTTAGATTTGAATATATGGGTCGTTTGTTATTAAAATCAAGTTCCGTAACATGATTTTAATAATCACCCATATTTCATTTTGGACTTAGGATTCTTTGTATTATCATTTGTTAACTCATCTGAATCAATATTATATTATAGCAATTAATACTCAATCACAGCATAATGAAGAATAATAATTAGTAAGAATTCTCTAGATTTAGAGATATTATACTGAAAGATGAAATAATATGATTTATAGATGCATCAACTTTCAAAATAATGATTAATAATGTATTATTATAAAATGATTAGTATTTAGTTATTGAAATTAATATATACTTTACAGAAACTTTTCAAATCAAAAAAAAATCATGAACAAATCTTGAATAGAAGGTTTAAAATAATTATAAAATTTGTTCACGATTTTGTTTTGATAAGCTGTGATTTAGTTTTAATATAAATATATATACAATCATCAATTAAAATTTGATGCATATTAAGATGATCATCACCTGACTTAACCGAATCATACGAAATTAATGATCGAAATCATAACAAAATCATAAACTATTTATAAATAAATAATTTAAATAAATAATAAAATATTATTAAATATTTATCAATAAATTGTGTAAAGTTTTATTTAATTTTATTCGATAAATAGTGAAGTTTTATTTAATAAATAATAAAGAAATTGTAAAATGTACTATTCGAAATTATAAATAAATTGTAAAGTTCTATTAAAGTTCTATTTAATAAATTGTAAAGTTCTATTAAAGTTCTATTCTATAAATTGCAAAGTGTTATTAGTAATTAATATTAAACAGCCTTGAAGAAAAATATATTCTTCATAAACAAACCATTTCTATAATTATGTTCACCTCCAGCATATTCTCTGTTCTTACAAATATGAACGAAATGTACATTATTGATTGCATTCACCAAATTGATAGAGAAAACTTTTCGCCAATTACTTGTTGTTCGTGTCTGAATACTAGACATTCTAGCATTTTTTGATTCATATCTTCAAACCAATCAATAATAATAAAAGTAAAACGAATGTTATTCTCTTATTGATGACAAAATATCGCTCTTATGATCGCAAAATATCCCCTTTTTCAAGATTGACTAATACAACATCCCCGATATGTAAGCGACATATAACAGTATCGCTATTTTCTTTTTCAAATAGGAAACTTGCATATCCAAAGAATGATATCGTACTGTCAAGTATTGCAGAATTGTTTCCTAAATCTTCATAGGCTAACTTTAATTCTGCTTGGAAATTTAATAATAACGATGGTTCAATATCTCTTCGAGAAATCTGTTTCTTTAATGTTATATTAGAAATATGCTCATCTGGAGAATAAACTTTAGAATAATATGATTCATGTTAAATATATATAAGTTAGTATTAAATAAACATATAATCGATACGATACATCAAATATCATAGTCATGCTTATCAAAAGATAAGCACCCTAGTGAAATTTTTCAAAGGAAAAGTATATTTTTTTTTTTTATTTTATAATTTTATTTTTTTTTATTTGAGAATTTCAAAGACGATGAAAAGAAGGAGAGGTGGCCAGCTAAAAACAAAGGGAAAGGGATAAAATCTATAATTAATATTAACATAAATGCTAGGAGGATCAAGATCCATTGGCTCCAACCATCGACTAGGAGAGAAATGTAAGGGATTTCTACAAAAATGCCTAGTGGATTGTATTTTTAGGCTCTGGCCACCTAGAAAAATGATGGATGAGAGCAATAGGGTGAGTAAGTATAGAAGTTACAGTTGTAACAGGAGGTAGGAAAGGGGGAGAGAAAGAACAGTAAAAAGGGGAGGGAAAGGAACTGAAATAATGAGAGGAGAGGAATTATAGTTACAGCTGTAGAAGCAAAAGAAGTGACAGCTGTAGAAAAAGAGGGAATAAAAGAAGATACAGCTGTTGAGGTTGATGCAAGAATTGAAGTAAAGAAATTAACGGTAAGTGATGAAATAAGTCATCACCTTTGCATTTCTCTACGTAATACCTTTGGTCTAGCTCTAAATGACATTATTATAAAATTTCTAAAAATGATTGAATAAACATTTTTTAAATATTTTCCTTTCAAATCTTTCAAATGTTCATAAAAAAAAATACTGATACGTACCAAATTAAAAAATTTTTTGGAATAAAGGTGACGAACTAAGATTTAAAGATCCTTTTTATAATTTTTCCAAGAGGTGTACTAGTCAAATAATGACAAATCAGCATACAATCAGATACTAATAGCATGTCTTATTGGATTTCGATGGGATAACGGTAATTAAATATTGTACAATATGTACGAATACCAATTTTGGTTAATTAATAGCTTCAATCAGCTTATATTCTATGATTAGAATGCGAGATCAGATTGTTTATTTAAACTGAAATATTTACCGATTGTAGTAAATAAATAATACCAATTATGATTAAAAAGAAAAATAAAACTACATTGGGTTGTACTAGAATTTTACTATTTCATTCAATCAGTAATTCCGATTGATATTAATTTTTTAATTTTATTAGTACAGAATTGTTTTTATTTGTTCTGTAGAATATATATCAGAATACATTATTTACTATTTGTAATGCTATTAATATTAATTTTTGCAACATTGTATTAAATTGAAAATAAACAATTATTATTAATTTTTAAAATGAATTATTATCGGCCATGGCCATCCATGCCTCAGTTTCCTCTGATCTATTCCTATTAACCAATTCATATTTTATTCGTTCTACCAATCAGTTTCTACTATTTCCAATTTTGGACTTTTTGGAGGTCAATTAATGGTTTCTTCGATTTTATGTCTTTGTTTGATGTTCCTAATCGATGCTTTTTTGATACTGTTAGTGTTTGATCTCAACACATTAATAGAGCCAAAAACAGTAGAACTAGTAATATGAGCAGTAGGAACGGTAGTAGGAGGAGGACTTTTATTAGGATTATTAGAACCAATGGTAGGAGTAGAACCTGTATGAGGAGTATTAGAACCTGTAGTAGAAACGGTAGAACTATTAGGAGTAAGTAGTAAAGTTAATGATCGTGAAAGTGTATTTGAAGAATATTCATTATACACTCTTTGTACTGCTATCATCAATGAGCTACTGTAGCCCTGAAGAATCTACCTAGGTACTTTATAAAGAGCTGATTGCTCTTTATCATAAAAATTATGTTTATCGTAGATTCAGGTTCACTTTTTGAAGATTCCAAGAATATACAATTAATATAATCTCTTAAAAATGAACATACTACAAATAATTATAGATTATTTACAATTAAAAGTTATAATAAATATCAATAAAATTTACATATCTTACTGTCGAAGAACGCCATCTTAAGTCTTTTACAATTATCTTTCGTTGATTTGATGGATATTCTTCATTAGATTCTGATACTTCAGGCGAATGGTATACATTATTATTCATTATCTGATGAAGTTCTCGCTGTTAGTGATAATCCGTTTGCGCAACTAAATGACTGCACCAACTAACATCACCAATGATTACCAGGAAAATCGTGATCATTGTTTTTACCAATTTCACTACTATCACAGCTATCATTGTGATATTCATATTCATTATTATAACGTTTATCATTATTTTATTTATTATATTTATTATCATAGTTATATTTACTTTCACTATTATATCTATTATCTCTATCTTATAATTGTATTTTATATAAATATCCTGTATTGTCACTTTGACAAATTAACATGTTTCAATCGTATAATTAATAAATTATAATCTTAACACATAAAAACTATATCTTTGTTAATATCTATTTCCTTAAAAACACAAATCATCAATAAAGACGACCTGACCTTTCAACTTAAATAATTTCATGTTTATTTCTTTCATAATTTACAACTTAAACTCCCTGTTAGCAAATAAGCTTTGTTATCCTAATGACGTAGTGTTTAGGCTTAACATCGCTCTTTAAAAATGCAAACTAATAGATCATCAATAGCCATCAGATGCTCTATCACATTTGCTCTATTATTTCATTTCTGTAATTATAAAAATACAATAAGATCAATAAAAAAATGAAAAATCAAATAGAAATAGTTTACTCACATCAGCTTATCGACTATTTAGGTGTTTTCTTTTAGCTTGTTGAATTTGTATTGAGACTGATTGCTGTTTTTTAAATGCTCCTTATGTTGATGCTTATGTCTGATATGTAGTATATCATATACAATATTTTCTGAAACAGGAAACATTTTCATATCCAGAGCTTGCATAACAGCTGGCATGATTGTGTTGTTTACTAATTGTCATTGTAATTCAAATGTATGATTTAAGTTCAAGCAGTTAGAAGTTAGCATTCTATTAATTATCCAAAATACTTGTCGCTGTAAATAAAGATAAAGATATATCTATAATTAGTATGTATATATATTAAAGTAAAAATGAATAAAATTCTTACCTTTAAGGCATCTTAGCGATCTTTTGACAAATCCAACATCCAAAAATATTTAGGTTGATCAATATTGGAAGAACTTTCAGAACTCGAAATAGATTTGGTTTCATCATCAGAAATAACCGATCATGATTGTGAATTATCAAAAGTAGTTGATTGTGATGGTGATTTTTCATCATTACTGTTTTTATTATCATTTCCATCATCATTACTTGATTGATCTTGATATGTTGATTTTTTACTTTATAATTTATGTTGTAGTATTTTCTGGATGTTCTTGTCTTTCAGAAATGTTTTAATTATTTATGTAAATTGTTTAATAATATAGTTGTTGCATATATTGATATTAAAATAAAACTTATTTTCTTCATCATAATCCTATTTGTCACGATTATTATCACGATCATCAAACTACCATCACGACCATGGCCATATTTTTTACGAGATCTTCTATCTGATTTTGAAGAATCTGAATTATTGTAAGATGAAGAACTTTGTCAAGTAATAAAATGTATTAATAACCATTAAAAATCAAACGTATTGTGTTACTTATCATTTAATATTACTTACCGTCTTTGCTTCTATATTTTCTTCTGTCAGGTGAATAATATCAGCTCTTTTTTCTTCTGTTTCTCTGACTCCTTCTTCTAGATCAGCTTTTATCATTATCTCTTCAACTTGTTAAGCTTCTTCCTCTTCCTTTACTTATATCTCGATATCTGCTCCTATTCTGACTTTGATCAATATAGAACGAAATTTGAGGTTTTGACATTATATTTCATGTAAAGTAAAAAAATCGAAAATAAATAAAGCAGAAAGAAAGTATTTTTTTTCTAAAAAAAAAATGAAAGGAAAAATAATTTAAATAGTTTAATATAATTTTAAAAGTTTAATTTACTTTCATCATTAAATTGATTTAGTTGATCAATAAACTTCGATTATTATCAATGGTATTGTTCTATTTGATTAAACTTTTATCAAATTATATTTTTTCACATGCTTTTAATATAAATGTTAAATAAAATCTGCATATATATTTAATTTTATTGATCGTTAAAATTTTTTGCCTAATTCTTGTTTTTTTTTAAAAAAAATGATCAGACGAAAATTGAATAACAAATTATCAATAGTTACAAGACATACAAAAGTTCGACTGAAAGTGCAATGTAACTGCATATAATGTAATAGTCATTTGGTTGATATTCGAATCAGAAAAACTTACGAAATAAAATATAATCAGCTTAAAGCTTCTATTTCTAAAAGGAAAAAAAAGAAATGGAAACCTCTAGATAACAAATACAATCAAAATCATTAGGATTAATTCACAAATTCAGATCACAATAACAATATTTTACAACCTAATTTAGCTAGTTCTTTACAAGATCTCGATGGCAATATTTTGTTAAACAAATATTCTTTACCTAATTTGATCAGTTCTTCACAAAAACTTGATGATAATATTTCATTAGATAAGGATTCTTTATCAAATTCGGTCAATTCTTTACAAGACCTCAATGATGATATTTTGTCAGACGAAGGTAGCTTCACTAGTGATAGAATAATTTTTTCTACAAAATCAAATAATGTTAGAAAAAAGCGAAGAAAATACAATCAGTTTCATATGACTAGTGACAATACCATTATCATTTCAGATGAAGAATATGAACAACAAGTTGATTTCTCTGGTGATGATGATGAATTTTGGTCAGTTAATGAGAAATCTTCTTTAGATAAACTATTATTAAATGATAACGAATCATTTGTAATACCTAAATATATAAAAGAATCAGATACAGAAAATATATTCACAAATATAAATATGAATGATTTTTGGATTCTTTTATGGATCTTCAAATATCAAGAAAGATTCAGGCTTCTAGATATTGCAGTCGATTCATTAATCAAATTCTTCAAGGTAGTACTGTCTGATGCTAATGAAAAATGATTCAAAAAATTTTCTGCAAGTGCTTATATGACAAAGAAGTTTTTAGATATAAAAAGAAAATCAAAAACATATGTTGTCTGTCCTGAATGTAATAAAATATATTCTATTACAACAAATTAGATGAATTCAAAATATAAATGCTCTCATGTAGAATTTTCAAATCATCTAATATGAAATTAACGGGAAGCTTGTGTGGCAGAATTACTTATGAAAATTCCAGTAACAATATAGTATCCTAAAATGATATATCCATTACCTTGTCTAAGAACTCAAATAATTACAATATATCAAAGGTCAGGCTTTGAAGAACTTTTAAAGAAATGGGTAACTCAGGATAATAAAACCAGCTAACTTTTTGATATCTATAATGGTGAAATATGGTGAAAATTCTCATTACATATGGATAATTTAAATTAAGAATGATTTTTCACACCTGTAACAGCCGATTCTCATTTAAAATTAATGATAAATCTCGATTGGTTCCAACTATTCGAGTCATCTTCGTATAGTAGTGGTATAATATATGGTATCATATGCAATCTACCACAGGATATTCACTTCAAAAAAGAAAATATTTTAACTCTTGGCTTGTTATTGGAACTAACGAGATAAAATTACATTAAATAAATCATTATCTTACCCTGATCATAGATGAATTGCTGGAATTCTAAAATGGTGTAGATTTACCAGCTACTAACTAGCATCTTATTGGTAAAGAATCAGATTAGCAGTAATCTATTGCAGCAATAATATTTTAGCTATACAAAAATTATGTAAATACATTTCTGCTTTAATAGGTTGTCACAGATGTTACAAATGTATAGATAGTATTAATAGAGAAAGAGCTAATTTTGGGAGTTTTGATAATATATCTGAATGGTTTAGAATATGGGATCCAGAAGAGCATCGTCGCAATACTACTATTTAGAAATCTAAAAAACAAAAGTAGATCCTATACATTGCTTGTTTCTGGGCATTGCTTATTGGATAGTAAAGAAGTTATAGATAGATGGTGAAAAACTAACAAAACAAGATCTAGAACTAATAGAAAAACAGTCAAAAATGATTAAGGTACCAGCGGATCTTAGAAGGATTTCATACAAAATTGCAACTGGAGAAGGTTTTTCCAGTTTTACTACAGATCAATAGAGAATATTCATTATGATTTATGCTACTCTGTTGCTTTAGGAACTTTTGGATGAAGGAGATCAAAAAAACTTGGCCAATTTTGTAAGGGCTTGCTTCTTATTAATATCAAGAATTATCAATGAACGTTGTGACGGGTAAAATTTTAGATAGATTTAATTGGTAGAATAGGAAGTCAATTTTATTGCCATGTAGATCTTCT